CGTGGGGTGGGGTCTGCTGCCTGCCGGCACGGCCTGGAACCAAGGGGTGCTGCGCATGGCGGAGGGGCCTGCCCCCCCACAACACTCCTTGGACCCTAGGGGGGGTCGGAGCCCCGGGGGGTCGTGCAAGGTGATGCACCTGGGGAGGAACAACCGGCACCATACCTACAGGCTGGGGAACTCCCCTCTTGTCAGCACGGAGGTGGAAAAGGGTCTTGGAGTCCTTATTGACTCCAAGATGAACATGGCTCGGCAGTGTGGGGAGGCGGCTAGGAAGGCCAACTGTACCTTGTCGTGCATCCACAGATGCATTTCAAGCAGGACCAAGGAGGTGATCCTCCCCCTCTATGCGGCACTGGTCAGGCCGCAGCTGGAGTACTGCGTCCAGTTCTGCCCAGGTCCCTTCCGACCCTAGAAACTATGAAACTATTTTAACATTTAAAAAGACAGAACATTCACTGTAAGCTTTACACATTTTTGTTAGTATGACTCTACAGTAGATTTTATGGTTCAGAGTATGAAAATTAAATTGCCTGTTCTGACCAGACATGAACATGGTTGATGCAGTAGCTTCACTTTCCTGAGGGAATTATTTACAAAGGTATTATGTGCAATAGCTAGAGGAGAAAGGCATAAAATACTGTTTGCATGGCCTCCCCTTTCCTTTTGGACCCATAGACCACACTACAGTAATCTTTAATCCTTCCACAAAACTCACTCATTCTACTAAGCCTTTCAATAATAAAACATCAAAATGATGAATTGTGGCAGTAATGACATTGATGCAAACAGGACCAGTTCTGAAGTTCAGACTTTGGCAAAACTCCAACTTTAGTTAATAGAAGTTTTGACTGCTGGACTGGGAGGGGTGTTGGGGGCTCCTATGTCTGCCCCCCCCCACCCCAGCCCCACTGGCCAGACCAGGGGGTGGCAGCTCGGGGAGCACTGGGAGTGGGGGGGGGGCATCACTCGACACCCCCCCCCCCCCCCTCCCCCCCACCCCGCCGGGGCCC